ACCAGTGCAGCCCAAAGGTAAGTCCTTTTGACTTGATATCTTGTCATTACATCATTAACAAGCTGTTGTTCTTTGAAGACAAGATGTAGTACTTTGTTATCCTGTTGAACTAGTCATCTGCACTTTGTTTAGGCTTATTCAATCATTTGTTGTTCATGTTTATCCATCATATGCCATAAGCTAACATGTACATTCAGTAAAATAATGTTTAAGGCAGGAAAATGAAGCATGTATCGACACATATCCTCATGTGTCGACTCATCCTAGTGAAAAAACAGGGTATGAGTCGACACATAATCCCCATGCATCGACTCATACTGATTTCAGGTTACAAAACAGAAGTGGGAAAAGACTATGAGTCGACACATACGCGTTTCGCGTTGATGCAAGAAGGTGCATGAGTCGACACATCCCATTATGTGTCGACTCATTCTGAGCAGTTTTTGTTTTACAGGAGCAGGGAAAAGCCTATGAGTCAATACATACGCATTTCGCATCGATACAAGAAGGTGCATGAGTCGACACATCCCATTATGTGTAGACCCATACTGAACTGATTTTGTTTCACAGGGGCAGAAAGAAGCTATGTGTCGATGCATAGCAACATGGGTCGACACATAGCAGTTCAAAATGCAGTTTTCCTTTTATTTTACACTGTTTTTACATTGTTTTCATTATCATTCGATATAGTTGTAATATTTCAGTCTCCACTTCATCCCCATTGTAAATTTGTACCCCTATCCCCCTAAAGTGATGTAATAGCTTAGGATTTATTTTCCGCATATTTACTTGCTTTCATATATTGTTAGTAATTAGGATGTATGACAAGATAAAATCAACAAATAGACAACTTAAAAATCAAAGACAAATGCATGCAATAAAACACACTTTGCACACATGCCCTTAGGGTAATCTCACTCGTTGCCTATCGGAAAATAGTCATGTCCCTCGGGCATGGGCGTTTTAGCAAAGACCCTTCGATAAAAGGTCGTACTCCCTCGATGACCCTCGATGTTGCCTTCGGTAAACGATCTAGTCCCTAAAATGACATTGCTAAAACGTCCCATATGTTTCCTTCTATGACTATACAAACGTCCCAACGCCCGTCCCTTCACATCCAACGATGGGACTTCTTACCAAATCAATGGTAAGATAGTCACATCTAAAGGAGGAGGAAAAGCACATTTAAGACCTTTCGAGTAGGTAGATTCGCTCTTAGTTACTCGCTTGCTCACAACAAAAACATTTTTACCCACACTCTCATCTTTGAACTATTTTTTGAAACAAACACTTTGTAGGCGTTCTTATAGAAACGAGAACCATTACGAAGTTCCATTTTCAAAATACTTTCAAAAACACATCTCACAAACACACTTTTGGACTATTTTCGAAACAAATACTTTGTAGGCGTTCTTATAGAAACGAGAACCATTACGAAGTTCCATTTTCAAAATACTTTCAAAAGTCACCACCACAAGCACAAATTCAAACAAAAGCAAGTGATCTAGCAAGTAATTTAGAGCCCATGGAAAATCATGGATGAAAAGGGTGCTAATACCTTCCCTTTTCATAATCTACCCCCCGAACTCAAAAAACATCTCTAAAGGTCTTTCCTGTGCTTTTTCACCTTTCCTTTTTGGATAAAAGAAAAGTCGGTGGCGACTCTTGCTAAACCGCAACATTTGCGAACACAAACGCAAAAACCTCAAGTCAGTTCTCCCACCGCATCACACCTGCAAAGCAAATATTATGCAGCCTAGGCTTGGATTTGAATTCTTGTTCATCATGGAAATGACCTATAATTCAAGAATGAAATGCCAACTTCATACCTTCGATTCTCCTTGCTCAAACATGATCTCAATGAATTCTTGGACATTTTAGAAAGCTTGTAACATCCTCTACAACCCCTATGTTGGTCACTTTTGAAAATTCTCCTTGGAACTATGTGGAAAATTGCCATGAAGTTAGGTCAAAATCCTGCCTAAACTAGGGCAAAATTTCACTAAGTTTCCAAGTTTCATAAACATGTATTCACAAAATCATAATTTGAAAATCCATACATTTCTAGGAGGAGTTGTGTTAAGAAATATTTTAGATCTCATTGAGATCTACAACTTTCATGTTGAAAGTTTAATTTGAATCATCTTGTATCATGATGAAAAGTTGGCTCAAAGTTGGAAAGAAATATGAAGTTTTCAACACTTGGAAAAATTTCTAACTTTGGAAACTTTGACTTTTCAAAATGAAATCTTGACTTTTTGATTTCTTGATGAAAAAGTTTCATATTTTGACATGTTTTGATGAATTGTGATCTTTGACACTTGATTTTGACCAAAAAGTCAAAGTTTGACTTTTCAGTGTGCAGTTGACTTTTGATTAGTTGACTGAAAATCAACTATTAATTAATTGACCTTGAGCAATGTTTTGAGTCAATGCCATTAGGTCAAAATGATGCAATTGAATCCTTGAGATCATGTTTCTAACCAATCAACCATTTGCTAGGTCAAAAATCAAAAATTGCCTTTTCTCAGTCAAAACTCTAATTTTGACCATTTTGCCCTTTTGATGATCTGATCAAATTTCTTGATGAATTATGGTCCAAACTTGATCAAATGACATATATGAGTTCATAATGTTGACATGGATAAAAAAATTATGAAGTTTGACGGTAAATTGACCACAATTGACTTTTTCTCCAATACAGTTGATTTTTAGGTGAACTGATCAATTGATTGAGCAAAAATGTGATCCAAGACTTGAAACTTGACATGAGAAATCTTGAGGATCCATAATGATTCATGAAAGTCATATGAGGCATTAAAAGTTCAATTATCCTTGTGCAATCTCAAACCCTAATTTTCAGTCATCAGAGCTTGAGGAGGTGCCTTGAGCTGATCAATCCTAGTGCATTTTTGAACCAAAGGAGATCTTGTGAGAAATTACTTGATAAATGAGAGGAGAAATTTTGGGGTACAATAGGGGGTATTGGTGATATATCAATCAAGAGGAAGAATGATGAGAATTCCTTGATTAAAGATGTGTTATATATTTCTGGAATCAAATGTAATCTTTTAAGCATTGGTCATTGTCTTGAAAGGAATTACAAGATTCACATGAAAAATAAAGTGTTGAAAGTTGTGGATGCAAATAGGAGTTTGATCCTAAAGGCTCTTATGTCTCAAAATATAACTTTCAAAATTGAATTGAATGTAATGGAGCATAGGTGTCTTGCAACGCCTTCTAGTAGAAAAGAATAGATATGGCACTATAGGCTTGGACATTTAAATTTCAAGGACCTCAATATTATGCAAAAAAAATAGCATGTTAATGGGGCTGCCATTAATTGATATGTCAACCAAAGTATATGAAGAGTGTGTGGAGGCCAAGCAACATCGGGACCGCTTTAGTAAAGATTTATGATGCAGATCCAAGTGTCATCTTGAGGTGGTATATTGAGACTTTTTTAACCGATGCATGTTGACTTAATCGGAGGCAATAAGTACTTTGTCACTTTCATTGATGATTTTAATCGAAAGTTGTGGACTGACTTGGATAAAAGAAAAGATGAGGTGTTGGAAGTATTCAATAAGTTCAATTATGTGGTGGAAAGACAAAGTGATCACAAAATCAAAACTCTAAAAATAACTGGTGTAGGTGAATATGTCTCAAACGATTTTAGGAAATTTTGTGATAAAGAGGGCATTGTGTATGAGGTAGTGCCACTTCATATGCCTCAACAAAATGGAGTTGCCGGGAGGAAGAATCGACTATTATGAATATGATGAGAATCATGTTGAAAGGGAAAACTTGCCAAAATAATTATGGGGAGAAGCGGTGTCCACGAATGCATATTTTTTGAAAAAGTGTCCAACAAAGAAGCTGAAAAATATTACACCTGGATAATATTGGTCTAGATTCAAGCCAAATATGAGCTAGTTCAAGATATTTGGTTTGGTTGCATATAAACATGTTTTGGATCAGCTTAGAAAGAAGATGGATGACAAGGGAGATGAAATGATACTTGTTGGGTATCACTCTACGGGTGGCTAAAAACTCTATGATGCAGTCAACAAAAGAATCGAATCAGTTGGGACGTGATTTTTGATGAATTAAAAGACTAGAAACATGTTGAATTTAACTCAAATGGTGTTGGAACTATTTCTTCAATGTTTGAAAATGCAGAAAATACAGTTGGTGAAGTTCAATCTAAAGAAAATGTGAGAACATCAACGAGGCAAAGAAGCATGCCCACAAAGCTACAAGATTGTGAGTTATTTCCGAATAATAAAGTAAACGAGAATGATGATCTCATCCATTTTTCTCTCATGGTTGAATCTGAAACCATGAAAATGGAGGATGACTTAAGTGAACCAAATTGGATATGTGCTATGAAGGATGGGCTGAAATCCATTGAAAAAAATAAGACATGGGAACTAGTTGATCTACTAGAAGGAAAGAATCCTATTGGTGTAAGATGTGTGTACAAAATAAAGGCAAATCCTAAGGGTGAAATAATCAAGCATAATGCTCAATTAATTGCAAAGGAATTTTTGCAAAGAGAATGCATAGACTTTGAAGAAGTATTTGCACTAATGGTAATAATTGAAACCATTAGACTAGTTATATGTATTGCAAATAACAATAATTTATCATCTACCAAATAGATGTCAAAATGAGATCAACACATTATGCTCAAGTATCATGACAAAATAAAAAAACAATAAAATGAAGGAAAAAATAAAACTTAAAACATAAAAAAGTAAATGACATAAAAGAAATTAAGAAGAAATGCTACTTATTGTACTAGGTTAATTACAATGAGCAAGACTGAGAAGTAACTTAGAGCACAGAGTGAAATTCAATTTTATTGACAATGTGGCAAATGAATATCACTTTGATTTCTTCCTAAACTCTGTGATCATTGTTAAGATTTCTGGTCTCATACATAATTAGAAATAAATAAACAACTGAAAAGCAATTTAGCAAAATCCATCCACAAACTAAAGCCAATCCTTCCTAATATCAAAAGTGTAGTTGATATCCAAGTAAGACTTTTTGTCATCGTCAACAAACTGAAAATTCATCCACAAACAAAATGGAAAGTCAACAAGTGCACTATATAATCCAATTCCAAACCAATAAATAATTAAAAGTAATTTGATAAACTATAGCTAATGTCACTTTGAATTTTTAAAAATGACAAAAATATCTGAAAATTCAAGAAAAATAAATGACTCAGAAAGGAAATTATCTGAAGATTAAATCTTGATGTAAATCTATTATAATAAAGAAATTATCTGCGACTCAATACCTTTATCTCCAAGAATTTTCCACACTTCAATAGATATGTTGTTCGGCTTAACTGCCTTACTATTACTCATTCTTTTCAACACTTCATTTACTGTTTGTTTTTGAATTCGACGATAGTAACTATAGTTTTAATTCTCTTCTCTAATGTCGAGTTTGCTAGAGTCCAATGAGATATCATATCCTTTATTAAATAAATTGTAGAAATGTGTCTTCCGCATATCCTTGATAGCAAATACTTTGCCTTCTTCATCTTTATAACACACTTCATTTGTTCTAAATCTATTATATTTCTTTCTCTTCCCTTATCAAGTCTATATATAGATTTTTCTCCCTCCTTGATTCTTAAGAATTGGTATAATCTATCAAAAGCTAGGATTTTTGCTTCACTCAATGCCTTTTTAGTCTCATTATTAGCTTTCTTATATTTTTCCTAAGTTTCGACATTTTTACACCTAGACCGCTTATTAAAACGATTGTTTTTTACTCTAATTTTACTATGAACACTTTCATTCCACCAACACAATTCTTACCTCTAGGTCCAAAACCTCTTGATTCTCCAAATGTCTCTTTAGCCACTTTTCTAATCTCTTGGGTCATCTTATTTCACATATCATTTGCAATTTCTTGTGGTTGTCCAAACCATCTCTCTAAGATTTTGTGTCGGAAACTTCCTTGTTTTACCCCTTTAAATGGCACCACTTAATCAGTGGTGCTCCCATGTCACTTATTCTCTTTGTTTTTCCCTTGATTCTAACATTCATAACCAATACTCTATGTTGGATAGTCAGGCTCTCTCCCGAAATAACTTTATAGTCCAAACAAACATTCCTATCTAACTTCTTAATAAGAAATAAATCTATTTGAGAACATGACACCCACTTTTATATGTGATAGGATATTCATGTATTGTCTTAAACTAGGTATTTGCTTTAGTAAGATCCAAAGTCGACGAAAACTCTAAGATAGATTTACTCTCGACATTCACCACTCCTATACCATATCCTCATGCATGCTCTGAAAACCTTTATTTGTGTATCAAAATTAAGTCAGAAAGTGGAATATTTGTAGGTATTCCTTCCGACCCTAGTTAAGTTATCAAAATAATTCCAAGACGTGAAAAAGACGGACGAACATTACAATGTTTTAATTCCTTCTTTGAACCTTGAGGCAAAACATTCAAACTTAGGAAATGTGAAGACAAGATTTACAAAGAGTCTTGTAAATCTAATAATTGATTATCCACTACTTTTCTTAAAATTTCTAAGCCATGTTTGTCTCCTAAACAAGAGGTTTTGTGGAGAGTTTCCTCATCTCGTCCAAGAGAAGAAATCCAAGAGTGATAGTGAGAAATTGAATTATAACCTCTTTGAGAGAAATGGAGTTTTGTTTCTATCATAGTTTGGTGAAAATTGAGAGATATTGTATACTATCTGAGTCAGGTGAGATTGAGAGATATCATATACTATCTGAGTCAGGTGAGATTGAGAGATATCATATACTATCTGAGTCAGGTGAGATTGAGAGATATATCCTCTTGTATAAAGAGAACTTGTAATCTTACTTTTCTACGGTAGAGATATTGATCTCATTGTTTTTCCCTTTCACATTAAGATATTTTTCACGTAAAAATTCTTAGTATGACTTTACTACGCAAAATCTCATTATTTTTCCTTCACTTAATGTCAATTTTGAGTTCACATATGAGGGAAATTATGCAGACATTTTCCAATAGTGATATGAAAATTCTTAGAGCTTTATGATACTAAGGTGTTGTATTTACAAGAAAATATTGCTTAGTATGCACGAAATAGTGTTTGATATTCTACATCAGTAAAGAAACATTCTTGTTGTTAGAAATAAAGTGTGTTAGTGTTTTAATGCATGTCTAGAAAAGTTTTAGTTAAGGAAAGATTTAGAATTTAAGCGTAATTATCGACTCACGTATATTTCCTGGGAACTTACCAATGACACGATATTCATTAACTCATTTTTATTCTAGTATATGACACTAATTTTGTTGTTTGAAAAAAATTGTGTCATGTATAGTTCAGGAAGGAAAGTTATATCACTCATAATGGAGATATGTTCAAGCTAATGGATGACAATCCTACGTAATGGAAGCCAATGATAGAAGACCATTTATATTTATAAGATTTGCATGAGCCAATCACATAGAAGGATAAACTCGAGGGGAAGAACGACAAATTCTTGGAGATAGAAACAGTACCTTAGTTCTAGCAGAGTATGTCCCTCTAGCAAATAACCCAGATGGTGTTGTATCTTCTGGCATTTCATGTGTGTAAGGTTCTGCTTGAGGGCTGAATGTTCCAATCATCTCTTTAGTGCTATCAACTGTAACAAACCTCACAAATTACTACAAGATTACTATTAATTTAATCTTATCAATCATCTAAGATATAGTTACTTACCTTTAAGGCCAGTTTTCCAAACAGTGTTGGTGTATTTAAGACCAGAAACAATATTATGGTTTACTTGGAATGTAAACATCAGCCTATAACGACAACCTTCTTTCAATGTAAACCATAAACCGTTTGGATTTCCTGTCTCTGGTACAGGTAGAATCATATCATCTCTACCTTCCGATTTTATCGCCAGACTCAGAAACTTCACCTCTGGCTCCAGAGTTTCTTTAAAAAAAATGAAAAGTTAGGTAAAATTCCTAAGCCATAAAACGGAAGCAATTGAAGTAGTATAACCTATCAAGCCACACAGACACCAGACACAAGACTGACACGTCGACAATGTGTTGATCTGATATCAGACACTGATTCATGTCAGACAGCAGACTCACTATTGTTAGAAAGAATATGATTAATTATACCTCCAACAGAACTCATGTCAATGCTTCCAAGAAGCTGTTCCTTCCATTTCCTCAAGCTCTCATCATCCTAAGGACTCAACAAAGAAAACAATTAACAAATGTAGATATGAAAAAGATGTGATGGATAAGCAAAGAATGTTGTGAAAAGAAAAGTGAACCTTATCCTTTTCAAGTTGTTCTTTCAAAGTGAACTGAGGACCCAAATCAATCTTCCTGTCTACGTCATCGTCTTCGTCTTCGGTGGCAGCAATAGAACTCTCACTCATGTGTCTACTAATGTTTGTCTTTCTTTCATTGGCATCTTCATGTTCAGGTTCATGATCACTGGGCATGTCACGATCAGAATCCATGTTTTTGCAATTGGAGTTTGGTGATCACTCCAATAGTCAAAGACATCAAAGGTGGCAAACCACCACCTTCTTCTAGTTAGTTAGCAACAAAGAAACAAACCCAATTGGTAGAAGAAAAAAAGTTAAAATGACTAGAGAGAAATGTATGGAAAAGAGAGAAAGAAATGGTCCTGTGGTGATCCGTAATACACAAAATATTGAACGACAAATATGGGGGAGATGTCACCTAGTCATCGTGAAGGTCACTCTTCTAGCACATCTTGTAGGAATAACAAATATTAAAGCTAGGATACAAAAATTAATTCATATTCAACAACTAGGTTTTTTTTATTTATTTATTAAGCAATTAATATATTTGATTGATTAGATTCATATAAACTTTTTAAAAAATTTATTTAAAAAAATGATAGACTTAAGCATTTTTAAAAGTCAATCTAATTAAATAGATCAGAAGTTATTAAAAAAAATCTATCAAATATTATAAGTCCACATATCTATTTAAATAAATATAATAGACTGTGTTGTTTATTTAAATAAAATAGCACCACCGTTAAAATCCGCCAAAAATTTAATAGGTCGTATACATATTGAATAATTTGTCATTCATTTTTTAGATATTCAATAATTCTAAAAAAAATTGAGATAAGAATCTATGATTACTGTAGGAGATTGATTACAATCTTACATTCTGGCATTTTGTTGAAGAAATACTATTAAACAATTAGTTAATTGCCAGCTAATGAAAGGACATAAAATGTTCAATAATTACTTTCGGAAGGATTTAGTTATTGTTAATCATTTTATAAATTATTGGACAACATGAATGTATCTCGATTATACTATCAGGTCCATCATTTTGTTAATGAGGATTGAGGAAAGCACGTAGCTATTATAGAATCGTCCTACAGATAGATGATCATGGTCACTTTTAATTTGATATCAAATACCAATCCATTATTATTAAATGTGTAACACATCTCAGGCGGAAAAAAAAAACCAAATAATTCGATCACAGACTCATAAGTGAAGTCGGCTACATGATCAAGCTACCTGAATCGAAATGCAGTTAATCATAAATTTAAAAGTAACCACTGTTTAACAAAATTACTCTGAACTCATTTTTTAGAGACACTAAATTTCCATACCAGTTGCATGCTTACAATCTCAGGATAACCAGAAAACCTAAATTAAGATGCCAATGGAAGAAAAAGCATTTCGGTTTACAACAAAAATCACCACGCTAATGCTAAGGTGATGTAGAACCAACATACAGGGGTAATATAAACAACATTCTGCTCTAAAAGGATGGTGCCTAACCTGTGATAAACAAGTAAACCATTAATCACTACCCCATTTTCTTACAACACTCTCTTTAGCAGAAGCACTTTTGTAACCTTCCTTCTTCGAAGAGCCATCGAAATCAGGCTGATCATTGTTAGAAGTATTTTTCGAAACTCCTGATGTTGCGAGACCAAATCCATTTCTCACTCCACGAAGTCCATACAGCAACGGATTGATGATGGTGGCGAGGATCAAATCACCTTTTGAAACTAGGAGATACTGCAAATGAAGAGAGTGAAGGTAAAATAGTTTTAATACTAATTTCGAACTTATGAGTGACTATCAGCAAAAAAAATTGGAAGTATTATTAGGAAATTTCTTACTATAAGAACAATGCCGAGTATAGTAAAACTAGCTTGTTTTGCTTCATGCCAAAAATTATCATCATTGGACCAGCCAAACCAACCTCCTCCACCACCACCGGTGCCACCTCCTCCTACCTCTTCTCGTCTTTTGATTTCTTTGTCCCACTTCTCAAATTCAACTTTCTTCCCACTTAGAGCACCGTCTAATGCCTTTCTAGCTTGATCCTGCAATCCGAAATCAATTATAGTTTCATTTCCTACACATCAGCTTTGTCCGGTATCAAAGACTATATAATATATACACTGCCCAACATCACAGGATATGAAATTGATTTTAGTGACGCCAAAATTAGATCAGTATAAACTGATAGAGCCTCTTATTCACTCATCTTTTCCATCTCTTTCTCATTCCTAAAAAGTGCGGCGGCTATTGACTAAGGATAAGGCATATAACAATTCTTGAATAGTAGGAACAGATTAAGATTAAAATTGATAGTATAAGCGAATGAAAGAAATAGTGAATACCTCTCTTTTGTTCTTGTCTGAAAAGAGGCAAGTGAATCTGGCGTTGGTGTTGAGTTTTTGATGCAAACGACTCCATTTTTGGTCAACAGAGTCCAACTGTTTGGTAAATTGGGAACGGCGTGACGTGGTTAGGATGCACGACGGGCCTCCTCCTATTCTTAGGTTTACAACTCCTGCCATGCTTTCTTTTCCTTGGACGCACTATTCATTTAAGATAAATGACATTTGTTTTTATTTTTTATTTAATTCCACGTGAATTATTTTTTATTTTACTTTTTTTAAAACATATTTTTATTAATACTTTTGTAATAATTTTTTCAGAATATGGCTTAATATCTTAGTTTGAACAAATGCCTCCATTATCAATTAATTTGAGTTTCTTCCTTCCGAGTGTCTCAGTTATCAATGAGATTACTAGATATGCCTATGTTTTCTTGAGTGATGTATCATTATAGCTGATGTTACTAAGAACAGGGCATAATGAAATCTTAGTTTGCCACAATTCACGTTTGCAATTCTAATACTCCTTCTCCTGTGTTGTGGTATTCAGAATTCAAGGTCTGGAATATGCTACTATAGATGTTGTAAACCTTTAGCATATGTGTTATTATTAGCTTATATTAATTTTATTATTATGGACTAATAGTTAGCTTTACACTTGTATAGTTAGTTTATTATTTATTGGTCAAAGCATGACTTGTATATATACATTTGGATGTACCTTTGGTTAAACATATATACTTAATATACTGTAACAAATCTTTTACCTTCCTCTTTCATCTTCCTTGGATGTTTCCTCCATTTCCATGGAGTTTTCTCTTGCATCATCCTATGTCAACATGGTATCAGAGCTATACAAGCTCTGATAGCCATTGTTTCACTACCTTCCCTTTCCCTGCAACTAGCGTAGCGTCTCTGCGTTTATCGTTGCAGATCCTTCTGCGAATCTTGATTTCGATTTGTATTTTCCCTTTCTTCTTTTCTTCATCAATGGCTTATCAGACCTTTGCTGATTTCTCCACGAATGCTACGAATCCTTATTATCTTCATCCAAACGAAAACCCAGTGATTATCCTTGTATCTCATCTTCTTGATGACAAGAACTACCATACTTGGGCTAGGTCAATGCATATAGCGTTTGTTGTACCTCAAAATTTGCCCTCCCATATTCTTCAAAATTTGCAAAGAGCATGCTTCAAAATCTCTCAAGGGTTGCACAGTTCAAGGGCCTTCTAACAGTCAAAAACTAGGGTTTTGATTCTGACAAAGAAGTTGAGGTTTCCAAGGGTTCAATCAAATCCCACATGCCTACAAACATTGTCAAGTATCCTTATGTCAAGTTTCAAGACTCACAGCACAAAATTGCACAGTCAAAAACCCTAATTGCTCAACAGTCAACTGCAGGGGCAAAATGGTCATTTGACAGTCAAAAGTTCAAATTTTTGGTCAACATCTTATTTTGAAGCCACAAACATCATTTGATCAATTCTTGATCATGATTCTCAAGGCATGGCTCAAAAAGTCTCAAGATGCAAAAGTTTCCATATTTGGACAGTTGAAAAAGTCAACTGCAAATTGACCAAGGCATAACTTCCACATGGTTTATCAGAAAAATTCCATCCAAATCTCATTTTGAAGAGAAAGACATTTCCTACAACTCCTCTTCACACTTCAAGTCCAAGAAATGCTCTCACAAAAAGTTATCAATCTCAACATTATAGGTCATTTTCAAAAGTCAACAAAAAGGGACTTTAAGTCAAAGACCATAACTTGAGATTGGTAAATCAAAATGACATGGTACCAAAGACATTGGTTAGAGGACTTCAAGGCCTTTCCAAAATGTCCAAGAAAATGATCAAAGCTTAAAAATTGAGCAAGATATGCCTTGTGGAAGTTGGGAAATTTTTGGGGATTTTGAAAAGTCAACTTTACTTCAAATGCCTCAAAATTGCTAATGGGCCACATTTTCTTCCAAGAATCATTATCCAAAGGCTATGGACGACCATTTGACCCAAAGGGGATTTATTTCATCATTTTTTATTATTTATTTGAATTTTTATCACCATTAATTCATTTAATTAAATAAAATATGACAAAAATACTAAACAAATGTTTTTGAATCCTTTTATGCAGCATATGCCCTCATTATTCACTCAAGATCTCGTGCACATCAAAAAAGGAAAGATTTGGTGCAAATTGGCATGAGGAAAAGATTGGAAAAGATTCCATGGAAATCAAATATTTGATTCATCAATGCAAAGGCTTATGGACTCAAATTCTTACCCTAATTCATTCCCATACATAAACAGAATACAACCCTAATGCATAAGACCTGGAAGCTGCGCCTCAGACCTCATACAAACTTTGCAATTTTTGTCAAAAATTCAAAAATTGAAAACACTCATAGGGCGTGATTCAAAGCCTATAATCCATCCAAAAAGCTTGCTGATGTCTCCCTGAACCTAACTGAATCCTTTTCCAGTCCCCACGCATCAAGAAGTGGTATAACGAAGTCAAGCTTTCTCAAACTTTTTGCATAATCGTGTCTCATAATTCATGCCATATTTTTGATTTCTAACGCTTGATTTGTATTAGTTTAATCATTCTGAAGCTAACCATGCCATTCAATTGAGTTTTCGTGCCTTATACATGAATCTACCATTGGAGCTCGCTAGGGTTTCAAAGCTGTAAAATTGGGGTTTCTCTCGTCCGGAAAAATTGGCCAACAAGACTTATGCCATTAGAATCAGAAGCTTCACACGAATTCAGTACACATGTCGCGCTCAATTTATGAGCAACGGTGGCCTAATCGCTATTTTTCTTGTACTGTAGTTAGTGGGGGTTCAAAACCCCCGCTATTTGATGTATTTTTTTAGGCAAAAACAAAGGCGTGATGGAGAAGATGCTGAGGTGTTGGACATGGATTGGCTAGTTTGAATAGCTGGCGCGCTTTTTGCTTGGTTAATACTATAAGCGCTTGTTTCATTTTTATTATTCATATTCCATTAACTAATAAACACGCGCATACAGCTCAGATGGTGGAGCGTGCATTTGGTAAACGTTGGGACATGGGTTCCTTTCCCAGGTCCCCTCTTTTCTCAATATTATTTTGACTTTCATGTTTCCATGCAGCGTACTTTTCAGGGACCACCATACAGCTCAATTTTTGGGCATGCCACACGTCCCACAACATCAATCCAATGGCCATGATCTGAAGGACACCATACGCATTGGTCAATGGAGCCACATGCATCCCAGGAAAGTCAACCAGGCCTCCTTCAAATGGGCCAAAAATTGCTGGAAAATACCTCCAGAATTGGGGTCAACACCCCCATTGGTTTGCATTTCATTTTTCATTCTTTTTATTTTTCTATTTATTTGTTTTATTTATTTTTAGTTTAATGCATAAATTAATTTTTCATAACATAAAAAATAACAAAAAAATCAGAAAGACAAAAAATAAAAATCTATTTTATTATTTGATTCACTAATGTTTTTATTTTGTAAATAAATGTAATAATTAATTTAGTTCTAATCCTAGGTTTTAATTTTAATATTTTTGTAATAAACTAAAAAATGTAGAATTAGGGTTTTATACTTTTATTCCTTTTTTTCTTTTTCACCATATTTAATTATTAATTATTTTTTGTAAATAAATTTGCCATTAAATAATTAGGTTAAAACTAGGTTAAACTTAAACTTTTTTTTTATAAATTAGAAATAATTTAGAATTAGGGTTCCAATTTAATTTTCTCATTAAACTCCATAAATACAAAAACTCCAAAAATAAAATCTTTCTTTTATTTAACTTAATTAATTTATTAATTTCAATTCAATTTCTTTAAAAGGGTCCAACGCCCTCGCTTTCGATTATAATTCCGTTTCGCGCATTTATTTTGTTTCCTTTTGTAAATTTCATGTAATTACCCCAAAGCCTTGTAATAGATTAATTAGGATATTTATTTTTCCGCATTTTTATTTCAAATCGGGTCTTGGATTAATTTGGCGATGTAGACCCGCGCCTTTGTAATAGCGTAGGACTTTTAATTCCGCACCTTTTAACTGTTAATAATTTGCATGAAAGAATGAATGCCAAAAATAAAAAAACAAAGCGTAGATCATCAATGCATGAACAAGACAAATATAACTGAAAACGACACACAAATCACACACCACCCCTAGGGTACGCCTCACTGTTGCCTTGCCCCTCGAAAAGTGGTCGTCGAGTAGAGGATATTTTAGTAAGTCCTCATGTCCATGAACATGGCATGAGGGTAGCTTCTAAGGTGTCTTCCTATTACTCTGGTGACCACAATGTCCCGAACCCTCGAATTGACCTGAACACCTCCAACGGTGGTGCTACCTACCTCTCAATGGTGGGATGGCACTACTTTAAGGACATTTACACAGACGAATTCCTTAAGCTAGGTAGAGAACTCATAGATACTTGCTCTAATTTCAAAACAAATCAAAAACTTCTTTTCACACCGACACCTTTCAAAAAGCTTTCAAAAAGCAATTTTTCAAACACTCTTGAGGACTGATACAAGAGTCGAACTGAAATTTTCAAAGAAACTTTTTTTAACCCACAGTTGAAAAGCAAACAAACAATTTTGAAAACACAAATGAGCAAGTATCTAAGAGCCCATGGATAACCATGGATAGAAAGGGTGCTAACACCTTCCCTTTCTATAAATCTACCTCCCGAACCGAGAGCAATCTCTATAAGGAATTTTTCTGTGCTTTTGTCCTTTCCATTTGGAGAAAATAAAAGACGGTGGCGACTCTTGCTTCCGCGACATTTCGCGAACCAGCGTTAAACAGTCAGTTCCAGATCCACCGATCACAGAACTGGCGACTCTGCTGGGGACATCTTAAAAAAGTGAGGTGTACCTTAGGATAGTTCATAACTGTGTTTTCAATTGTTTTGACTTGTTTGCTTTATCATTGCGGGATTGTCTTGGGAGTTACATAGATCCTAACCCGGATCTGGGGATACCCTATTAGGTAGCATAAGCTGTGAGGGACCTGTCCGGCGTAGACCGACATGGGTGAAGCAGTGGCTACATTGGTGTGGCACCTTGGTCTGTACCGATATCCCTTGTGTTGTAACGAGGAGAATATGGGTCTTCTGAGGAGTCATTAAGCACCAACAGACCTTAGAACCTTAAATGACACAA